CACACACCCTGTTTAATTCTGTCCCTACTGTGGAGAGGCAACCTATTTTACATTTTTTCTTGTAATATTTGTTAAGTGAATCACAGCAGTTGTTACATTATAACATGGTTGTTAAGTGAACATGAATTCTCCATTGATTTTATTTGTCAGAAGGTCACATAACCCCGGGGCATTGAAACCGTCATATATGAACCAGTTGTCAAGCATCTGAATGTAAATCACGTGACCAAGGGAACACTGCAACAGTTGTTAAGTGTGAAAAATGTTCATATCACTTTTTTCTGTGCCGTTGCAATTTTGAATGGTCACTAAACAAATGGTTATAAATCAACTACTACCTGTATGGGATATAAACAAATGTTGTTTTGCTCTGCAAATCTAAATATTACTTATTTTTATGAAAACAGCAAATAATTAATAAAACATAAAAATCAAAGGTAACAAAACATGATTTGCTGGTAAACCAGGACTCGGGAAGTTCATCTGTACTTACAAAGTTTACTGGGACATACCAGCTATGGCTGGAGATAGGAAAGGAATTTTGCTGATTTTTTTTACCTAAATAGATTTATTTTCTGAGCTTGTCGATCAGAAAGGTCGGCATTTTGTTGGTTTGAATTCCTAGTGCTACGTAACGGAGTGAGCTCCCGTTACTTTCCCCAGCTTTTGCCAACCTAGCAGTTCGAAAGCATGTGAAAAAATAGGAACCACCTTAGGTGGGATGGTAACAGTGTTCCGTGCGCCTTTGGTGTTTAGTCATGCTGGCCACATGACCACGGAGCCGTCTTTGGTCAGCGCTGGCTCTTTGGCTTTGAAACAGAGATGAGCACCGCCCCCTAGTATCAGGAATGACTATCACGCATGTGTGAGTAGAACCTTTAGCTTTACCTATAGTATTGTAAACATATTTCATATAGCTTACAATTCTCTACTGCTTTTTTACATTATCATATTTCAAAAAAAAACTATGACCATAAATGAAAGATTTTATACCGGCAGTTTTCTTGTTTGACAATTAATGATAAGATACTGATATAAATTTATCTAAATTTCAGACCTGAAAACCCCATGTGCAGTTGGAAAAAAAGTATTGTTTGTTTTACTAGGTTTTTACAATATTTTGGAAACTTTCAGGGCTCAGGTTTGAAGAAATGTGAGACAAAGATATTTTTCTGTTATAGACTATATTTTTTGTGAAAAGAAATTTGTTTATGCCAATGTGATACATAGATATAAAAAAACAACTGCCAGAAGTTAATAACAACAAAAATGTCTTGGCATATACACAATGTAGTATACAGACCTTGCACATGTTTTGTCAATTTTGTCAAGGGATTCATTATTTAGATAAACCTTAAAAATGTATTTTAAGGTGTGTGTATGTATATATATATATATATATTTTTGTCAATTTTGTCAAGGGATTCATTATTTAGATAAACCTTAAAAATGTATTTTAAGGTGTGTGTATGTATATACATATATATATATACATACACACACACACACACACACACACACACANGTGGATTTGGGGTTTTCATGAGCAGTAAGCCATAATCATCACAATTATGACAAATCACCACTTGAACTATCTTGCTTTGCATGCAATGAGTCTTATGTCATATATTAGTTTCACCTTTTAAGTTGCATTACTGAAATAAATGAACTTTTACACTATATTCTAATTTTCTGAGTTTCCCCTGTATGTATATATATGTATGTATATATATGTATATATGTATGTATGTTATGGTGTTTCCTTAAAACAATTACATATCTTGTCATGAAACGTGATTATTTTATGAAGTATGACTACTAACATCAATAATATGGTGGGGTTTTGCTTTTGAGATTACATCCTCCTATATGTTTTTATCAAGCGGGTTGCTTTGGATTACTTTCAAGTCTTCAGAGAGCCTTTTCAGGAGGGTAATAGTGCTGCTGCCAGAGGGAGGAGTTAATAACTAGAAGGTTGTGATTTTTGTGATGGAAAGTATTGAAGAAGTGGATCCCCAGGATAGAGGGGGTGAATTCCAGAGGAGTAAAGGTCTAAATAGCCCAGTTATTATGTGGGAGAGAAAAGGGGTAAAGAGAGGCCTTCCCTAATAGTTTATATATTGTAGATGCGGATAGTAGAGTCTTCT